CAACGTTTATTTATTTTTGGGACAGAGAGAGACAGAGCATGAATGGGCGAGGGGCAGAGAGAGAGGGAGACACAGAATCAGAAACAGGCTCCAGGCTCTGAGCCATCAGCCCAGAGCCCGACGCGGGGCTCGAACTCAGGGACCGTGAGATCGTGACCTGGTTGAAGTCGGACGCTTAACCGACTGCGCCACCCAGGCGCCCCTGGACCTTAATGATTCTAAAATGGCAACAGTGATGTCCGGTCCCACCTGCATATCAGGAGGGAGTATTTTGGCGTGTCTGTGAATTGCAAAAGTTCCTTGGAAAAGGGGCCAAAATACATAAATAAACATCTCGCCCTACTCGGTTCTTACTTTGAGGTATGAAAGTGAAATTTTTTCTCTGTAAATAGTTTTGTCACCTTACTGCCACTTGGATAATGCAGACGGGTTCGGCCCACTTACCTCGGAATGATCGATCATTTTCTAGAAACTGAGAATTTTGTCTTTCTTCAGATTGCATTTGTGTCTCTTTTTTGAGCTAATATACATTGAAATATATTCTATCAGAAAAGAAAAAAAAGAAGAAGAAGAAGAAGAAGAAGAAGAAGAAGAAGAAGAAGAAGAAGGTCTAGCCTGGTTTTTCCACGTGCTGTATGTCATAGATAGCCCCATATTTATAGATAAAGAAATCGGGTCTCAGGGAGGTTAAGAAACATTCCCGAGATCCCACAGCAAGCAAGCGGCAGAGCCGGAGGCTCGGTTCCGTGTCTTTAACTAGCAAGCAATTCAGCCTCCAAACGGACAGGGTGTAGGTCCCGGGGAGGGCAGAACAGAGCGAGCTGGGGGCTTGTGGGTAACAGGTCTCTGGGTGCAGAGGGAGTCGAGATGTTTAAAGCCTTGGAGTCTATGTAAAAAGCCAGAAGCAACAATCAGTTACAGTTTCTAAAATCTTTTCTTGCTCTTAAATCCCCTGGCCCTGGCCCACCACCAAAGGCCCGGGGTTATATGTTTAGACAATAAAACTTGTCATCCTGGGTCCTTGCTTGTGTGAGATCGCTATTGCAGCTGAGCCCAGTGTCCTGTGGGGGAAAGGCGGTGCAGAGGGCCTGGCATGGGAACAGTAGGGTCACTTACTAAGATCCCGAGACTGTAAACGTTATCTTTTGATACGGTGACTCCTCATCGACTTGGGGATCAGATAACCTGACCACCTCACCTTTGCAGAACCTGATCTGGACAACGGGGGGCCACGACCTCCAAAGACACGGGTCCAGCTGAGCACATACGCTCTCGATTTCACAGCATCCCCACCACCAGCCCTTTTGGACGAGGAGGAAACAGCTCAGAGAGCCTGAGGAGCTCGCTTAAGGCCACACAGCCAGGGAGTGACAGAGCCGGTCTGTCTGCCCCAGACGTTATGTCCTTCACCACCATGTGAGGTGGGAGACAAGGACAATATCCACAGGGGCACAGCCAAGAAAGAGCCTTGCCAGCTTGGGAGCCGTGCTCCAAGGCAAGCACCACCTACCCTTGCTCGGAGTGTATTTACGTCCAGCTTCACAACTGACGTCCCACCTGAGCTGCCTTGTTGCCACAGCCGTGGCCGGGAATCCCGGGACTGCAACCGAGGAGGTCCGGGTTCTCCTTCTGGTCCAACTGCTTAACTCACGGCACTTAGGTTCTCAGAAGCGAGTGGAAAAGTTTGACCAAGTGGTCTCTGGGGATGCTTTGGGCTGTGGAGGATACAAAGGAAAATGAAATAAGACACGGTCCTTGTTTCTGAGGAACACACAGTCTCCTAAAGGAGATGGACAGGGGCGCCTGGGTGGCTCAGTGGGTTGAGCATCTGACTTCGGCTCAGGTCACGA